TACGGCAATAAATGTTCAAAGGAAACACTTTGCTTGTCTAGCGGGTCGTTAGTAGGGTTTGGGGCGGTCGGGGGGGGGGGGGCAGTGGACGGTAATGCTAAAAGACAACAGTAGACACCGTGTAATCCCCCACAAATCATCAGACCGTATCGTCGACAACCCGCCTGCTAACGAGGGCAATCAACATATCGCGGAGCGTATTCTAAACGTAGTGATAATTAGCAAAATTTTTTAGGAATGCCAGATCTGATTTTGAGGATTTGGGTTTTTTTACCTTTCGAGCTATACAAAAAATCTTAGAAAAGTTTTTGCCTATACTTTAGCGGCAAAACAACATCTAGAAAATTTCGCACGTTTTTTCTGCCTTTTCTGACCCAAATTTGCCAGTTTTTACGTCTAGGAATCGTAGAAAAAAGTTTGTAACACTTTCCCAATTCAGATTACAGAGCAGGCACACCCCGAGGGAAGGTTTTGCGTCCCCCACCGATAATGCAAAAGCGCCAGCTGGGGCAGTATCTTTTTTTGCCAGAGCATATGCACTTCCGGTAAACATTCCATCTTTATTCGATCTCCAAAAAATGGGTACAGCGAAGCGACGAGTGAGGGGTGCGAGTGAGAGCGCGAGGCGGGGGCAAGAGACACAGAGACACGAAGGAATACGGAACCTTTTTTGTGGATAAATACACAGTTATTAACGGGTTGTTGGGGGGCGATGGGCTGGTGGGGGTGTTCAGCGAGTGGGCGGGCAGACACGGGGTTCCGACAGACCCATGCGGTACAGGTAGATGGCCAACAGGAAGCCGAACAACATCATCCAGCAGCGAATCTGAAGTCGTAGCTTAGGGATGCCTCCATTTTGAAGGTAGAGAATGACTCTTAGTAGGTGTGAGTCTTTTAAACGGAAAAATAGCCTTTGAAACACTAGAAATCGAGTATTGCAGGCCTCCAAAATGTCGACATCAGCCATTCAATATCGAAAAATCTAATTTTTATCTCCTGAAACCGATTTAGGGGCGTTTAAGTTAGAAAATTAAGTAAAAGCCTATGCAAAATAGCATGACAATCGAGAAAAATCCTTTTTGGCCGGAAAACAGACATTTTTATTTTCTGGGAGGGCTTTTTAGGGATTTTAAGTCGTTTTAAATCGATGAAACTTGCAAAAATTACGTCTGCGACTGATTACTGTGCCATGCAAAGCAGAAAAAAAAGACCTCAAAGCCGCTCATCCAAATGCCAGGCGACGACATGGAGTAGTTGGCGTCCGGGTAGGGGTAGCAGATCGGCGGAGGGCCCATCATCATCGGCTGCTGCTGCTGCTGCTGGGCTCGCTGGAAGGAGCAGTATTTTTGAAAATGACTTGCCGTTGGCTTTACCATCATACAGCAAGGCGGAGCGTTGTTCATGACGCCGTTGCATATGGGGAGCGGATGCTGAGGAAGCTGTTGAAGCTGCGGCTGCTGCTGCTGGAAGCCGGCCGGCGGATTGTACACATTCTGAGGAGCACTGACGACTAAAAATCATAGATGATGACGTCTGAAAAAGCCTCCTACCTTTCACAGAGTCGCTCACCGGCGCAGGGGAGACGGTCCTGACCGGGGCAGGCTGTTGGGGCTCGACTGGCGGGGCAACGATACGCTTCGGAGAACGCACAGGGCTCGACGGCTTCTAAATCAAACTGGTTCTTTTGCATTATCGGGGGATCAGGAGAACGAATTTTTGCTTTAGTATAAAATTTTTCAAATCTTAATAGCGAAAATTCTCAACCGATTTTTGCAAAGCAAAAACCAAACAAAAATTCCTCAACCGATTTTACTGGGATTAAAAACAAAAATTTCACAAAGTTTTATTAAATAATACGAAAAATCCTCTTGCGACGACAAGAATCGCCGATTTTCGAACATATATCCAAATTTTTTGGATTTTCAGCTAGTTTTTTTAGTTTTGAATTATAGCTAAATTTCACCGGAAACACCATCAAAATCAGCAGCTTAACCAAAATGCCTACCTGCACCGGCTTAGTGGCCGTCTGGCTGGCCGAAGAACGAGCAGCCACCAGCTGCACCGGCGGCGGCTGCGACTGCTGAACTGGCTGGACGAGGCTCTGCGTGGAAGTCGATGAAGTAGACGCAGCCGCCGAGGCCGGAGAAGCCGCCATCGTGTTGGCGATGATGTCGAGGATGGAGGGCGAGATGGAGTGCTTCCTGCGCTGGCGCAGCGCGTCGGGGGCTGGAAGTAGAATAAGAATTAAGTGCGAAACGGTTGCGAGCCTACCGGACTGGCCCGAGTATTCTTCGATGGAGCGCGTCACGTAGCTGCCCAGCACGGCCGCGTCGAGTCGCTCGCAGTTGCACGTCGTGTAGCACGACCTAGAATTTTCGAGGTCTTGGAAAGGTAAGAGTTTACTTTACCCCCCCCCCCCCCCCACAGCCGAAGGGTCTCAAAGTTGTCGGTATTTTCGCTTATTTTGTCGGGATTTTCGCAACGCCATTCGATAGAGCGTCGAAAAATATACTAAGAGTTTTAATTTGAGCCTACATTAATGTAAAATAAAAAAGTTATAGCCAAAAACTTCCGGCTGGGGGGGTAAAGTAAACCGTAGCCCTTGGAAAACCTTGAGGAACCGACCCTTGAGAAATGTTTTCGCGCGAGTGCCTCGGGCTGCTCGTTTCGTAGAGGTTGCCAAAGGATTGAGAGGCCAGGAGGGGGGCATTCTGGAAAATACTAAATTCCGCTTTCAACAGGGATTAAAAAAAAGCGCAGAACTAGACGCTCGATGTACAGACCGAAGTGGACGAGGCCGAAGTCTGAGCAGCAGGAGCCGGTGGAGCAGGGGCAGTCGAAGCGCCACGCTGCGCCTCGACGTGGCTGGGATGACGGGACGGGTTGCGCGTACTGTGGCGGAGCAGGCGGGCAACACGATGGCGCATATTCTCGGCACGCTCGGAACTCATCGGCGAGTCGCTGACCTCGCCCGGCGAGCCCGTTTCATCCGTTTCCTAAGACAACGAGTTGAAGAGTCAATTAGTACTACCTCAGCACTGCCCTTCTTCGTCTGAATGAGGCGACCGGTGACGTCGGCCTCCGAAGAAATGTTGCCCGGCTCGTCGTCCTTGTCCGCGTCGTTTTGGCTCTTCTTCTTTGATGGGCCCTCTGGAGTGCGAGGGTTTTTTTTCGATACCGCTGTGACGACCCAAATTTATTTCAAGCGTACCCATCTGTGTCGTGCTCTTCAGATCAGCCCCAGCACACTGACGCCACGTCGTCGAGTCGTGCAAACTAAAATCCAAAATTTTTCGGCGCCTAAAACTCACCTAATTTTTGCGAGGTTGCCGTTGTCCTTCCGATCGGGCACCGTCTCGAAGCCGTCGACGTGCAGCTTCAAGTCGACCTGCAAATGAAGTTTTGAAAGCGAGTCCCGGCTTACCTGGTACCGCGGGCCGGACGCCGGCATCGAGTTGAAAGCTTTTGCCGTTTTGCGAAGCCAGAGCCTCGCCAAGGCAAAATCAAGATTCTTATGTAGTGGTGGATTCAAAGTGATAAATTCATGATGTATTTTGAGTGAAACAGACGTTTTCGACGATTTTCAACGCTGGTTTCTGGCTATTGGGGGTAATCGACTTGAATTTTACCAAATAGTGGGTTGGATTTCAATAAAATTAGAGCCCTGTGATGTTAGCATGAAACAAGTAAACTAGGGAGAAAAACTTCAAAGCCTAATCACAAAAAAGTCCCAGAATAGATTTTCGGTATCTTGGTCTCAAATGATGCGCAATTCTTCGTAGAAAATTTTAATATGTCTTGTTTTTTGAATTTTTGTCGACTGTATACGTGCATTTTCGGTAAGAATGCTTGGGCAATTTCGTAAACTTTATTCACAATGCAATAAGTGGTTGCTTGACGGTTTGAATTTCTAAAAAGAAAGCAAGAAATCGGAAGGACAAATCGAGATCGAGCAGATGCGCTGAATCCTCAAGTAGTTGGGAAGGTAGCTGCATATCAACTGGGCAGTCTGCGGTTGAGTCGTGGAATTTCCCGATGGCGTTGGCTCTTGCACTTGCGGCTGATCGTCGCTCAAGTTGGCCGATTTGAGGATGTTGATGGCGGCATCCTCGTTAGAGCGCTTCTTGAGGTCCAACTTCAGGTTGTTGATGCGTGCTTCGAGTAGCTTTATCGAGTCGATCTAAAGAAGTTCAGGTCCAATATAGCAGTTCTTACGATTTCAGCATTCGAGCTCACTTCAGGGCACGGCGGTTCAGCCTTTAAGAAAAACGCGCATGAGAGGGGAAGACGGGGCTAGGCTACGGACAAGTACGTCTTTTAGATACGTCGTCGCCATATTCCTGGCCTTTATTTTCGATATGTTTTGGCTGCATGCCTGGCTTTGCTGCTCCTGTTTGTCCTATACATTGTAAAAATTCTTGCTTTTTGCGTTTGTGCCTGAAAAAGATGCCGTCGGTGAAAAGGCAAAGAATTAGTGCATTAATTTTTGTTCTTATGCGGAGATGTTTGCATGAATTAGAACTTTATTACAATTTTGCCAAAATCACAATGTGGTACTCGAACGCACTGAAGTGGGAACATCAAATTAACAAGATTAGAATCTCTATAATCCTTATTAAAAATGGCACAGCAAATAAAAAAAAACGGTACACTCAACGACAGATTCACAGTTCAAAGCCAGATATCGGAAGTGCAATCGCCGCCCGGGTAGCGCATCTCGTGAGCCACGTATGGTCCACCTTCTACCTAAAATTCACGATGAATTGTAGGAAATTGAAGATTACACCATAAAAAATCTGAAAAACCAACCTCTCCGAAATTGATCAGAAAATCGTTGTTCAGCTTCATTCCGCCCTTCTCGACATCGACGTCGATCTGGAGCATCGCGGCACCGGTTTCTAGCAGTTTCGGGTAGAATTGACGATCCCAGGGCCTAATTTGTAAAATTAATTTAGAGCATACAAAAGACCGACCTGTATAGAGACATGGTGACATAGAGCCGTTTCCCGTCAAGGCTTAGCTGCAGCATTTGTGGAGCGCCTGCGATCCTTGTTCCCTTAACAAACAGGGGCTCGGGCTGCTTCTAAAAGTGCATTTCATAAAAGTAGTCCCTAAAACCTACAAAGCTCGCATCTTTCACCGTCACGCCGGTGTCGCTGTGAAGGCTGCCGCCAAGCCAGAGCTGGAAAAAATTTTGTAGGTCTTGCTGGTTGCACAAAAAAAACACGGAAAAATTATCGAACTCACCTGGCCAGTCAATTTCGGGTGCTCAGGATCGGAGATGTCATACTGACGCAAATCTCCGTGTAGCCAATTCGAAAAGTAGAGGAAACTAAAATTCATTCAAAAGCTAAAAAATGAAGCCGCCATTTACCGATCATCCATGCTGATGAGGATATCAGTGATGAGGGAGGGCATCATTGGTAGAGCCCAGCCCTCGACCTCGAGTGGCTCCACCTTGATCACACAGTCAGCCGCGTATTTTTCAGGATCCTCAATCAGCATTTTTTCGGATCGAATGGCCAAACCTCATTGTCGGGTCGAATGTGAAAAATGGATGATCCTAGGGCAGCTCCGACAAAGCAATGTTGGCTCTCCGGCTCGTGGTGGAAGCGGATCTAATTTTCTACTACCAATTCTAGAAAAAAAATACTGACCTCCAGGGGGATTGCACCTTCAGGCATAGGGAGTTCAATTGTTTGCCGCTTCTCCCGCGTGGTCCAATCGAAAATGTGCACACTGTGACCGTAGTTGCCTAAAAATCGTTAAGGATTCGCAATTTAGCAGCATCCCACCCTGTTGCACGTGAGCTGGGTTAAATCCTTCCTTGATTAACCGCGGTACGCCCCATTCGGTAGACATCATCACATTATGCCGGGGTTGGTACCTGAAACAAAATTATATAAAAGATTTTCGCATAATTCATACCAAAAATCATAATTGAAAGCCACGTCGCCATCGGCTGGGATCCAGTTACCCGTTGGCTCAAAGCTCTGACCATCCAGCAACAGGAAATTCCCTACGATCCGTCCAATGTTTCCTTTTCACTATAGTTACCTCTATTTCCGCCGTCTTTATCGCCCAGTGTGCGATATCCATGAATTTTCCCGTTGGCCAGACAGTGCGACGTATGCGGGAACGAGACGCCCAAGTCGTGCAGCTTTTTAGGTTCGATTGTCTGAAAAAAATAAGTAAATAAACCCTCAAATGATGCTGACCTTCTCCAGCTTCATCGCCCTTGGATCGGCAACATCCACGATGTAGATACGGTCTGAACCCAAGCATGGTAGGACGAGGTGGGTTCTAAATTGTCGAATCCGCATGCTTTAAACAGATTCTATACCTCTTTGCTGACGAATCCCCGTGACATGAAGAGCATGCATTCCAGCCCATGTGGTGCACTTCATCACCGGCATTTGGAAGGCTAGCTTCGGGGGCTACCTTAAAATCCGTACTAAAAGATTGCAAAACCTACCTGGCTATACGTTGCGCTTTCCGGGTCCACATCTACGGCACAAAGGGCATCGGACTTGGTTTCATCTACATGTGGACAGGTGACAAACAGGACTTTCTCTCTCGGGCCCTAAAAGAAATAGTATTTTTGAGGAGAAGCCATACCTTTATCGCTTCTTTTGGGCTGGCATATCCGGGCCCCGAGCCGGCGCAACACGGCATTTTGATTGTGACGGCTGGCGGGAGACAGCTGAAATAACTTTGCGATATTGGTAGTCAAGGAAATGGGGGACAAAAACAAGCGAGTGGGGGATCGGGAATGATAAGGAAGGAATCGCTGCCCCTACAAAGAAGGCACAACTGGATAATTGGGGGTAAGAGAGGAAAAGAAGTCTTTTTTGGGGGTGAACAACGAAGAACGATAGCCCCTATCAATGCCTGCTGGCACCATCCCTTTAAAAATAGCCACGATAACTTTCTGACCCTCGGCAGCTGAAAACTCAAATGTCGGCCGGGCTTTTCAAACATCTAAAATGAGCCGTCACTGCTTTGAGGGCACAAAGCGCTTTTACAAAGCATCGCCTTCGATTCACCCGTTCAAAGCTACTACACCATTCAAAATCATATTGTTGCAGCTGTAACGATCGCGGTCCTGCAGAAAATCGGGACCATGACATTTCCGCCAACGACAATTCCGCCAACGGCCAAAATGCTTATAAAATGCGCTGTTTCATGCGTGTAACAATCCTAACTATTTTTTTCTCGCCCGGATCTCTACGCTATTACAGAAGAAATAACAAGCGTATGATGGCTTTTCTTCAAATCGGATTTTGAGCCTGAAAAGGTAAAAAACGCGATATGATGCCCAAAACAACCCTCCCGCATCGTAATTTCTTCTCTACTAGCATGTACTTACGTTGATTGAATTTATTAAAGGGCTGCCGACGGCATGTGTCGATCCCCCTCATCA